GCCGGCCAGAAACTCACCAGCCGGGGAGAAGCTTCCTCTTTTTTTTCTTTTTTTTCTTTAAAAAATATCTTTTTTATTTTTTATCCTTTTTTCCTCTTTTTTCCTCTTTTTTTCTTTATTTTTCTTTTTTATTTTTTTCCTCTTTTTACTTTTTTTTTTTCTTTCTTTCATCTTCCCCTGCTGTGGGAGTGTGCTTGAGAGCCTCATAAACTCGGAAGCTCCTGGAAAAAAGGAGAGTCCAAGCTTAATGTCTGTTTGAGCTGCAGTGGCCGGGGAGTTTAGGAACCTCTGCAGGTAGAGGCTGCAGCGTGGGGAGGTGGGTTTGAAGCAGGGAGCTGCAGACCAGAGCTCTGAGGGCTGCAGAGCCTCAGGTTGAGCTTCCAGCAAGAAAGTCAACTAGTGTGCCTGACTGCAGTGGTGGAGATCAGCAGCAGCGGCTTCTCTGACACCTTGGAATAGACCTTCCCAGCCCTCCACCTCTTCTCAGCACTTCCATCAGTCCAGTGGTGGCAGGAGCCACCTTTAGTGCTTTATAGGACCGTGTTTTAGTGCTTGAACAGTACTTTCCTCTTTGCACTAACATCAATGGCTACACAAAGAGCAGAGAGACTGTGGTAAATCACCCACATTATCTGAATTTTCTAGCCAACAAGCCAATACTGCCTTACCAAACTCGGGCATTTTTGAGGGTGTTGGTGCTGCTGGGCCAGGCGCAGGGCAGCCAGGAACATGCCTGGGGTGACCACCCCAGCTGGTCCCCGGACCCCACCAAGCGCACCCCCACAGGGTTTGCATGCTTCCTGCCCTCGGCTGGTGTTTGCCGTTGGTGTGGTCGATAAATCCCCCAAGTCCATAAAAGGCTGAATCTCACTTGTGTGTGCAGCGAGGAAAATATAGGATTTATAAATACCCATGCATATACAAGGGCTTGTGGGTTGGGTTGGGCTGGATTAAAGGAGGTATTGAAAACTGAGGGAAGCCAGAAACGGCAGGCTTCTCATTTCTGTGAATTCTAATGGCTTTTCCTTTTGCATAAACATTGCATTGACTCCATACCCAAGAGCACTGCAGGCATTTTCTCCCCTGCTCTGGACAAAATATAACCCAGACCTCTAAAATGGATATTTTTTATTAGGACGTTTGGTTTCCCCAAGCCCAGGAAAGAACAATTGCCCTCTGTAGCAGCAGGGCCCGAGCAAGCTGCAGGGCAGGCATCTCCTGAGGGAGGTGAACGGCAGCTCCTTTGTGGGGGAAAAGCAGCAAATGAAATCTCTGCACTTGGATTCAGTGTTACCTGCTCTTGAGGACACTGTTACTACGAGTTCCTGTATAAAGAGTTGATTTGAAGACCCAGTTTCTAAACAATAGCTGACAGGATCGTATTTTGGTCTCCTGAGTCGGGTACTTTCATTCCCAGGGGACCAAAAAAATCAGATCCCTCCACAGCCTGAGCCAGTGAACGTCAGCAAACTGGAAAGCAGCAGTGCAGGAGGTGGTTTGCTTCTCCCGGTGCCCGTAAAGTGCTTTTTCTACTCTCACAGCCACCCAGGGGTGCACACACAGGATGGTGCAGGACTCCCCCCGCCCAACCTGCCCCCGCAGAGCAGGAGGTGATGGGGAGCCCAGGATTTGTCCCACACCATGAGCGTGGCTGCCTCAGTGGGGACAAGTGACCGGCTGGCAGGGGAAGGCTGAGCTGAAAAGGCCCCTTGGAGGGGTTCTCCCTGGTTTGAGGCACGGGCAGGAGCCGTGCCTGTGGCAGGGGTTCACCCCGAGCTGCGGCGGGAGGTGGGGGCGATGCACAGCCCTGCCCGACCCACTGGCACTGAGGAAGGAGAAAATGCATTTCCTGGCTGGAGGCAGGACAAAGCACTGACTGAGGCCCCCACTCGCTGCTGGGAAGCTGAGGGCTCATTTTCAGCTGTTAAACATCAGCTCTCCTAAAATCAGCGATGTGACTGCAGGGTCCCACCCCACCAAAGCCTCCCAGCGCCCACCCGGGTTCCCTGCGTAACACATCAAACAGCCCTTCCCAAAGGGTCCGCCTGTGTGTCTCCCGTGAAAAGCACACAGGGCACTCCTGCTCCTTTTCTGCTTCGTTGAAGAGGGCACAGCAGCACAGCCAGGGCTTGCAGACCCCCCTCAGGTGGGTCTCTCCCCCATCCAGCAGCAGGGCAGAGCCACCCAGAGATGCCCCTAAAGCGTGTCCGCAGCCCCCCCGGAGGCACATCCTGACCTAAACCGAGGGAACAGCCTCGTGGTGGGCGATGCCAGGCTGGGCAGGGAGCGGGAAAGGCTTAAAAAATCAGAAGAGGATAAAGTTGGTGG